CGCCCCGGCGGCGGCGGCCCCTCAGGACGGGAAGTAGTCCCGGCCGGGGGCGCGGCGGAGGGATCCCCGCGCCGGACCAGCCGCAGGGCGCGGCGCCTCCTAGCGGGGCCGGGGTAGATCCCGCCGCCGCCGCCGCCGCCGCCATGGCCGCAGCCGCCCTGCCGCGCCCCGCGGGGGCCCCCCCGCGGCGGGGCCGTGTCAACGCCCGGTGGGGCGGGCGCGGCGGGTCCGGCCCCATCGGGACCCCCGGGGCTCCCCCGCCCCCCCCGGGGCGCGGCCCCCTCCCCTCCCGCCGGACAATGAGTCCCGTATGCTAATGAGGGGCTGGCGTCACTTCCGCTCTTTCTCGGCCGCCATCTTGGCCCGGGCAGCTGTGGGCAGCGGGACCCGGCTGTATTGTCTGAGGGGCCCGGGCGCTGCCCCCGCCTGCCGCCCGCGCCCCCGCCCCGCGCCCCCGGACCAGTGCCCGCCGCTCCCGCCCCCGAGGCCGCCCCGCACCGCCCGCCCCGCACACTGCCCCCCCCCAACATCCCCCCCTTTGTCTCCCCCGCGCCGCCGCCGGCTCCGCTCCGCCCGCCCGCCCGCCTCGGGACCGGGCGGCGCCGGGGAGGGTCCGGCGTCCCCCCCAGCCCGCCCTCGCTGCGAGGACAGCCCGCTCAGGTAGGTGCGAGCGCGGGTCCGCGGGGCGACCCGGGCGGGGGCAGCGCCCGCCCGCCCCCTCCCTGCCTCCCTCCTCCTCCTCCTCCCGCGGGCATCCCGCGCCCTGCCCGCCGCGCCGGCTGCGGGGCTGGCGGCGGCCCCTCCCCACCGCACACATGTTGAGGAGCCCCGGCGGCTGCGGGCACCGGGCGCTGCTCTCGCCCCGCCGCCAGCCCGGCCGCCTCCCTTCCCCGCACGGCCGCGTCCCGGGGCAGCGGCAGCGCCAGCGCCAGCCGGGCCAGCATCCCGGGGTGCGGCTGCACCGGTGCTGAGCGGAGCTAGATGCGATGAATGGGAGCAGCCGAGGGGTCCGTGCCCGCGGGAAAAGGCGGGATCCGCCGCTGCCATCCCGAGCCGCAGCCGCGGGATGGAGCGGCGCTGCCTCACCCGCCCCTGCCCCGGGCTACAGTTACCGACACCGCTCCGCAGACAAAGGCGGGGAACCCACCCCCGGAGCCTCGCACCGCACCGGGGAGACACCCCCGTGTCGCGCACCCCTTGCCCGCGGCGGCTGCAGCCCGCGGGGGTCCCAAAGCAAGCCCCGCGGGGTGCGCGGTGCGGGGGTGCCCCCAGCCCCGGTGCCCCCGGCCGTGCCCGCGGGGGACACTCGGGCCCCCCCGATCCACCGCAGCCAGGCCGGGGCGCTGCACGGCGGCACCGCCAGGGGGCGCCCTGCGCGCCGGGCCCCGCTGCGGCGGGGGGGGCACCGGGGGGGCCCCGGGACCGGGGGGTGGCAGGAACGGGGGCACCGGGCGCGGGCCGTGTCACGGCCGGACGGGCCTCGCGGTTGGTTCGCTCGCTGAGCCCTCGGGCACGTGGCTGCAGCCCCCAGCCCGCGGCGCGGGGCGTTCCTCGAGCCTCGGGGGGCTTTGTCTGGGGCCGCGGGGCAGAGCCCCCGTACCTGGAGGTGTTGTCGTTCGTTGTTTATTGGGTGTATTTGAGGCGTTTGGTAGGTGTGAAAGAGGTTTTTATTCCTGCACCCCTTTTTCTTATGTTGGGGGTTTTTTTTGCTGGCGATGTTTTTATTTATTTTTACGCCTATTTTCTGTTTCTGTTGGAGGTGCAGGGTGTGAGCTAATGGAGACACAGCACTGCTGCCTGTCAGGGTAGCACGGACCGACCTTAGCTGACTGCTGTGGCTCAGCTGTGTGTGCCCCAGCACTGCTTCCTCCTGCAGGGTCTCAGGAAAACTTTCATTTGAGGACTCTGGCAACTCATAATCACAAGTTGTCATCCTTCTAGGTGAGAAAGATGGACCAACCTCCTTGAGAAACAGAAAAGCAGGGGATTTTTTTTTTTGTGCTTCTAATAACAAACCAAACCCAGGCTTGGTTCCTGTGCAGATATGCATTTGCAGATGTTGGGCAGTAGTTTGCTGTCAGCACATGGACATGTACCATGATATGTGCTGAAATCTTCAAACATTCGCCAGAGACAACACCAGAGGAACACCCTGTTGTTAAAAGAATTGCACCAGATGCTGATGGGTTACCTAATGGTAACATAATGGTTAACTTTTCTGAAGATTATTACAGCACGTACTTAAACTTCACACGACAAATAACTTGTTTTTCAAAAGTAAAACTAAGTTAAATGGCTTTGTACTTTTTCTTTTCTAGTATGTTGCCCTTTACTCAAATCAATATCATTTTTAATTAGCTCATAAGAATTATTTTTTGGTCTCCAACAGAAGTGAGTTGCTCCCAGTGTCTGGGAACAGCTCTGAGATTATTGCAAACTGATATGTTTTTTGTGCCCCACTATTTAAAACAATCTTGTTTTGTTTTGAATTTGAAGTGATGATCCATCAGACAGGTTCGTAGAAAGTATCTCCTTAGGTTACCACTCTTTATGCTTCAAACTCTGTTGTCATGAAGAGTTTGTAAGCTCACTTGTGTTCAGGTGTAGGAGGGAGATGCTTTGGAAGTGTGGGAGATGAGGAGGGTGAAAGGTGGCTGGTTTGCTTGTAGGTAGGACAGACAAGTGTCTGCTGCTCACAGTGCTTAGGAATGAAAAGCCTTCACAGGAGAGGAGCTTCTTGGCTGGTTTGGGAAGTTCCTGCCCTGCAGCATTAACCATCAGCTGCACAATCACCACACCTAGGAAGGTGTGTGTGCTCCTCAGGAGGAGGTGAAGAACTTCATGGTGTTTCTGTGTGTGCAGGGTAGAAGTTACCAGTTGTCAGAAGGTGCCCATGAGCATTTCCAGAGCTGGTGCGTGTCACTGACAGGGTTATATTGCAACAGCATTTTAATTAAGCATTAATAGTATAAAACCTCATTTGTTGGGTGCGTCCCAAACTCCCTGTGCCGTGACTGAATCGCTGGTAGATCGTAGGTGAGTGTGTTCCCGTGTTCTGGGGAAGGTGAGCTGTGCTCACACACTGCAGAGGGAATAATGGAAGATTATTCCCAACCCAGCTTTACCACTCCATAATAACAGTAAACACTGAAAGCAAATGTGAAAGTTTACCGTAGCATTCCTGGAATACAGAAACATATCAGAATCTTATCAGTAGTCAGAAGTCATACAGTCCAAATGTATATTTTATAGCTTCTTATTAAGATGGCAGCTGATTTGATTGATGCAAAGAAAGCAATTGAAACAAATGGTTTTGTGCAGCAAAGGCAGTGCTCCTGGGTTAATGTGTTTATTTTGAGGTGGCTGCAAATCAGATTTAGCAGCTTTGTAGGAAACTTATTGGGGCGTGTTTTGTGGGGTGGTGTTTTCAGGAAGGGAAAGTTGTCTTTGCTCCACTACTCGAAGTTGGTTTAGGTTGGGAATGAACAAACCAGTGTCAGATCTGAGGAGGACCAGTGTAAGTGTGTGGGGCTTGGGTGTCAGGAGAGGCAGGGAACAGGTACAGGGCTGCAGCTGCTCAGTGTGTCACAGGTGTCACTGGAGCTGCTTTATCTGCAGGGGAAAAAATGGGGAATTTTTTTAAATCATAGTTCAGCTGAGGTTTTGTATTAACCATGCTGCATTTACTGGGGTTGTGTTTTCTAAGGTGCTTGTAACATGCTTGTTTAAAAAGCCAGCAGCTGACTATACTGGCCTGCATCTGAACAAGCAGCACAGGAGTTTTTCATTATAGTAAGTCAAGATCTGCTCTGCCTAGATTTATATCTATATAGGTATTTAGGATATGGTTTCTATGAGCATAATTGTAACAGGATAATTGTTAATGTGGAGGTAGTCCTGCCCATACAAGTAGATCTGCTGATAGAAGTGTGTTCTTAATAGTGTAAGAGATGGAGATGAGAATGAGAGGTGCTGGTCTGAATCTGTATGTGCACTAGAACGAAAAGAACTCTTGTTCATGTTAATTTAGTTTTCTCAAAAAGAAATCCTATACCTTCTGCATATGTGGAAGGTGTGTTTTGCCTCAGCTGATACACTGGGGAGGAGTGCCCTGGCTTTCCTAGGCAGGATGGCCAAATTGCCCTATTCCTTTTGAGCTTTCAGGAAGAACTTAGATCTGGTTTAAAAATCAAATACACGTTCTAGATTTGAATAAAGACATTTTTTGAGAGGGTGTAGCTCTTATTTATCTACCTGAGGGCCATATGCCTCAAGGCAAGAGCTGCATTGTTCAGAGCTTCACTGCAGCTCTCAAAAGGCAAACAGGAGGCTTGAATTTAGTGTCTGTGATCTCACAGTAGTGCTCTTGAATGTGTGTGGCAGTTGATGGTTTTGAGTAAGAATGGAGTAAATATCATTTTTTCTGCAGTGAGTCACTTACAGTCGCCACCATTTATATCCTTAGTTGTTGGGGTTTTTTAAGGAGGCATTAAAGATTATTTTGATGAAAAATGACAGTGACTGTTGGCCTATGCCTGTGTAGCTGACCCTGTGAACACCCCACACCTGCAGGTGTATCCAGATCATGTTGCCAAATGTTTGAT